CGCTCCCCACCAGCCCTGTGCTCCAGACCCTGCCCCAGCTCCGCTGCCCTTCTCTGGACTCGCCCCAGCACCCCAATGTCCTTCTTGTGCCGAGGGGCCCAAAACTGGACACAGCATTCCAGGTGCGGCCTCCCCAGTGCCGAGCACAGGGGGACGATCCCTGCCCTGCTCCCGCTGGCCACGCTATTCCTGACACAAGCCAGGATGCTGTTGGCCGCCTTGGCCACCTGGGCACACTGCTGGCTCATGTTCAGCCGCTGTCAACCAACACCCCCAGGTCCTTTTTCTTGCACGTCTCCCTCTCCTGCCCCTCCAGCCCGGTACCTTTGTGCTGCCTGGCTGGAGCCAGCGCCGAGGCAGGATTTCCCTGCTGCAGCCACAGAGCTCATCCCTTCTCCTGGTGCCTCTTTGCCAGCGCACGGAGCGAGGCCGGACGGGGTCTTGCTGTGCCCATGGGAGCAAGGCTTGGCCGGGGGCTCCAGCTCCTTCCTGGCTGAGCAGGCAGAGAGCTGGAGGGTGGCAGAGACCATGTCCCCTTGCAGACTCTCGGAGCCACCGGGAAGTGCCGGTGTGCGGCGATGGCAGTGGCAGCCTGCAGCAAAATCCACGCAGACCCTTTGCGGCACCGGCTCCTCTCCACGGCACGGGGCTGCAGGGTGCTGAAATGCTGCCGGGGCTGCGGGTAGACAGGCCCTAAAAGGGCAGAGCTGGAGCACGCGGCAGAGACGGGGGAAGCCCCAGGCTTCCTGCCTGCCCTTCGGTTTCTGCCGTATCATGACCCTGTGCCGACCACAAACCTCCATCCCACGGCCACACGTCTGACGTGATCAGTAGCAAAAGCTGTGGGGTGGCCAGGGCTGGTGTGTGCTGGAGTCCCGGCTCACTCCCGGTACCTCTGCACGCTGCTCTCGGTGCCCGTCCAGTGCTCCCAGTACCTCTGTACGCTGCCGTCGGTGCCCGTGCAGTGCTCCCGGTACCTCTGCACACCACCATCAGTGCCCGTGCAGTGCTCCCGGTACCTCTGCATGCCACCGTCAGTGCCCATGCTGTGCTCCTGGTACCTCTGCACGCTGCTGTGGGTGCCCGTGCCGTGCTCCCAGTACCTCTGCACACTGCTGTCAGTGCCCGTGCAGTGTTCCCGGTATCTCTGCATGCCACCGTCAGTGCTCGTGCAGTGCTCCTGGTACCTATGCACACCGCTGTCGGTGCCCGTGCCATGCTCCTGGTACATCTGCATGCCGCCGTCAGTGCCCGTGCCGTGCTCTCGGTGCCTCTGCACACCGCCGTCAGTGCCTGTGCAGTGCTCCTGGTACCTCTGCATGCCGCTGTCAGTGCCCGTGCAGCGCTCCCGGTACCTCTGCACGCCGCCGTGGGTGCCCGTGCCATGCTCCTGGTACCTCTGCACACCGCTGTCAGTGCCCGTGCAGTGCTCCCGGTATCTCTGCACGCTGCCGTCAGTGCCCATGCCGTGCTCCTGGTACCTCTGCATGCCACCGTCAGTGCCCGTGCCGTGCTCCTGGTACCTCTGCACGCCGCTGTTGGTGCCCGTGCCGTGCTCCCGGTGCCTCCACAGGCACTGGCACAGGCCGCAGCAGCTCCTGGGCACAGCCTGGGCTGGCTGAGGCCACTGCAGCCCCGCTGTCCCCGGAGCCGTACCCCAAGGGATGGGCTGCTCCGGGATGACGCCCTGCGGGGAGGGATGCTCGGTGCTGGGCCCTGGGGTGGGCAGGGATGGGGGACACGCTGCTCCCCAGTGTCCGCCTTCGCTTTGGGAGCGAAGGGTCAGTGGAAAGCAGGACGGGTGGAAACAACAGCCTGTGACGGTGCTCCCACAGGGTTGCCCCATGAGAGCTGCTCCGGACGGAGTTCCCTGCGGGAAGGGAAGGCTTGGGGAAGAGTGGCTGGAAGCTGCCTGGCCGAAAAGGAGCTGGGGGTGTTGGTTGACAGCGGCTGAA